TTTTTTTACATCCCTGTCTTTTTTCTTCAATGATTATAATTAAGAATTTTGATTTTTTTATATATATATATATTTTCATTTACTGCGCTCTCTGATTATGTATTTTATACAGAGATTCCTATGTAGCAATAAGATTGCATGTTGTTTGTTAGTGGTGCGTAATTTTTTCCTCATAATGCTAAGTGACGGGACGAACAAGTCGTACGCCTGATGGTAAGCAACACGCCTGTCCATAACAGTTGCAGTGCCACTCAGAGCTTGCAATCATCAAGATCTGATAAGCACTGCTCGTGCGCCCGTCGCCTTGAGACATGAGTTGAAAAATCCCATGTCCCCTCAAAATCAGAACGCTATAATACTCACATTACTTGGCGGCAGAAATAGGTAATTTGGCAGTAACTCCCTGGACGAACTCTTTCATAAGGACCTCTGTTGCTACCGAAAGGTCCGTATGACACTATTCCAATCGGTTCGATTAAGAAATTTATTCAATTTATTCTCGAATTTAGTTAAAATATTGAACGGAAGATGCTGGAATAATTACTGCATCAGCTTTCGATTTTCAAATATCCACCCTTTCCCATCGAACGTAAATCGCATTTTTAAATTTTTACATTTCTTTCAAAAGCCGAATATTACCAATAAACACAATTCGGTTTTCTTTAAAATTATTTGTCGCTTAAATACTAACGTTGAAAACGCATTAATCAATGATTAATTTTGCGATAAACGTTTGATTGATTACGCTAATTATTTTGATTGACTGATTGCATCACGTATTTAGGACTTGACACCGTCTAAGTGGTGTCATACTTATTTTGATAAATCGATTACGGGTTTTTAGGTTTTTTTATCTAACGAGGTTGAATGGAAAATCACCATAAGGGCGCTTTCATATTAGGCGCTTGTAGTGGCGCAACTTTGGCACATCTGCCGCGCGATAGAGCGATGCCACAAGATGCGTAGCATCGGTGTTGCGACTCTGAGCGGTGTCACTGCGTTGCGTATAGTATGAGGCATTGCAAAATTACAGTCACAACAGTGGCGCTGCGGCTGCACTTGCAAATATTGGTGTCACAGCAGCACTTCTATAAGCGTCTAATCTAGGACCATGGTCTAACTTTTCAACAAAAGTTTTTGAATGAATTTCTGTGCATTTAAAGCTAGTGTCAGTTATGTGTGTGGCCTCAATACATTGAACTCTGAAATGTGGTGCTAGTATGATTTTTGGCTTTAATGTTTGTGTTGTCAGTAGAAGAAATGAATACTTTTACGCAAGACAACAGGGGTACACACTGAGGCTTTGGTCTCGTTGCAATTTCGCGTCCGGGGAAAAAATCGATACTCGGTGAGGTCTAGAAAATTCCGGGAAAAACGAGGTTTTCGAAAGTATATCACAATATGACATTTTAATCAAGTACTTTATTAACTCGTGTTATAAAATAAAAAATATTTATAACTTTTTTAAATTTTTTAGTGGGAACGTAAGAAACAATGGGCGTTTAATGTAGTTTCAGATAGAGATAAACTGATTTTGTTGTTATCGCTTTTCAATCTTCACAGATTATACTAAGCTCCACTCTACAACTTTGTCATGTCCATGTAACCAGACTGTTTACTGTTTAAGTGTTTAAGTGACTTGGTCCCGAGACCAAAAACGCCTCGAAAACTTCAAAAAAGCGGCGATACTCCCGAAATGTTAGTGAACACGATACCCGGAACGAAAACCTTAGTCCTTGCCTAATATATACACTTCCGGACACATAATTGGAGCCACCACGCATTTTCAGTATTAAGTGCCCTAAGCTTAAACAATGTTTGATTGATCAAAAACTATTATGCAATTTTGAACTAACTAAACGTCTTTTCCATGAGTCCTTGTTGGGAATTTGGATTTGCAAAACCGGGGGACAACTTTTTCTTCGATGATAACACTATTTTTGTATACTAACTCTTTACGACAAAAATGCGAGGTAGCTCGAATTATGTGTCCAGGAGTATATTTCACATTACTATAGTGCTCATTATGTCTCAAAAGCCGTAGTAGCCTAATAGTTTGACCTGCCACCTCTCAACCAGAAGCCGTGGATTCGAATCTGGGCTCGCACCTCTGAGTTTCTCTGAATGTAAGTGCGAAATAAATTTTAAATTTACCATTATCTTTTCGGTGAAGGAAAACATTGTCATGAAATATGCAATAAGAAATACATAATAAGAAAGTTAAACCCTCGGCAAACGTGTAAAGTCCTCAACCCGCACTGGACCAGGGAACTATTGGTTTAAATTGGTTGTTTTTTTTTTTTTTTTTTTTTTTTTTTTTAATTTTGTTGTGCCCAACAGTGGGACCTTACACCTTACTAGGTTTATGATGTTGATGTGTGCCTATTTTGACAAGTATGCAGAATCAATTAAAATTTTGCTACATCGAATTTCTAAAACAAAAATAAACTTAGCTGAAGAAACGTACTTAGTAATATAAAACTGAAAAAAGACAAAAGTAAATTGATTTAAACAATACTTTTCGAAGAAAACGACGAGCAAGATTTGATTTCAAGTTTCTACAGATTAAAATTATCTCGGCGAAGTATCTGTAACTGAAAGAAGATTTTATATAAAATAGGAATGTCGTAATAAATTAAAAGAAAAAAAAATCAATTCGATTTTCAATCCCGAGACGGAGCGTACCCAAGCGACCCCGAAATTGCTGGCCGCATTCACCCAGACAAAGCTTTAAAACACACCCCGTGAGCAAAAAGAAAAGCATTTCCATCCCATCCCCTCCTTATTTAAATTTCCCGCCCCAGAGCGGGGGCGGCGACCATAGGGGCGGCTTCGTACAACAGAGACGAGACTTAAAATCGTGTAGATAAGAATGAGACGGCTGTATGTCCACCTGTTGCGTTTCAAGTTTCATATTTTCGCGGTGGATTCTTTTTTCGTTTCTTCTTATGGCGCTCCAAAGGATTTGAATGGCGCGCGGCGTGCATGCGTACTAGGGGTAGGTATCGAACGATATCGACGTGTGGAGAGGCCGACGACTGTTGATGTTCGATTTTTAAGCTGTCATTCACTCAATTTTGAATTTAAAATTTTCGAACTCCTTTCACTGCGGCCGGGCTTACATTTCAACGGCGGGCTTGATTTAAGTTTGTTTTAGAATTTGATTTTTCTTCTGCGCAACTTTTATTTCTATCACACTAATGATGCGAAAAGAATGAGTGAACTATAAATAACATCATAATTAGGGAATGTTCATTTCTTTTTAGAATAACAATAGTACCGTTGGTTTTAATGCTTTGTAGATTTGAAACAAATATCTAATGTATTTTAAAAGTAAATTTCGCTAAAATGTACGTTCCACAGCTAGGTTCGGATCTCTTCTATAGCCTGTTGTTTCATAATCCACTACTGTACAAAACCACATGAAGCTCTCTATAAATAAATTACCCATCTCTGTTTGTATCTACCCAGCTGATACCCAATAGTTCAGACACAGGATGAAGACAGAAATAAAAATGTTTGTGTTACCGTTTCCGGCGTCCCAGGTTCGAATCCCAGCGCGGCACGTGGCGTAGTTATTACTTGGAAATTTTGTAATAAAAATAGTTAAATTAAACTATCCGGAACCATTGCGGTAGCTGTTTATTTGTTTAAGAATTTTTTGAAAATAAACATATCTAAAGTTGAAAACTTGCATTTATATCTTAATAGAGTCGGTTACGTCGATATATGTGGATATCGGTCACGAATAGGACAACTTTTGCGTCGTCGTATACAATAGTGAGTATGTAATTCCCGTGTGGTTTTCAATAATTAATAGAAGCCTATTTTAGTTTCTCATTGACGTTGTATCGTGTAAGCATGGCTGTTATGGCGAGGGTAAGAAAAAGCTTATGTTAATGTAATAAGGGTGAAAAAGAGATGTGCGTGACGAGACCTAAAGTAAGGTACACATGTCGCAAAACCAGTAGATAAGCGTAAGTGGCAGTGGAGCGGGCATGTCTGAAGGAGGTTAAACCGCCGATGGAGCAAATTTGTTCTGGATTGGCGACCACGTCAAGGAAAACGTAGTGTAGGACGCCCTGAGGCAAAATGGACGGACGACCTGGGAGAGGTGGCCGGCAGCGGCTGGATGCGCGCAGCGCAAGACCGGGAGTTGGCGTGCTCAAGGTTTATGTCCAGCAATGGATGCGTGTAAGTTGATGATGAGATTTTTCTTATTATAGATATAAATATCACGATGTTTCCTAAAAATACTCTACTAGTTTGCTATTAATATTTATTACAGCTCAGTTGATAAGAGCGGTAGCCACGTTGAGGCAACAGACACTGGTTCGAGTACAGTCGGATCGAATGGGTTGTTCTTCAACGTTTGTTCGATCTTTGTACCAATAACAATCCAGTGGTGTATTTTCACCAAAAAAAAATTGATGAATATCATGGTTGTAAAAACATTAAAAATAAATATTAGACTTTTCTGTGTTTTTGTAGTACATATTGGGTCAAGTTGGTGGGCTATCCAGAAGAAAGTAGAGACAAACCGTATACCTTCAGGACATTCTCATTTGTTTACGAATCAATTTTTAAAAAAAGAAACTGCAAAAGATAGAGCGGATAAACACTAATGACAGTTTCGTCCCTTGTAGAACGCACAGTGGCACCGGCACAAATTTGATATGGCCATAAATGCGTCAAATTAACTTTCTGGTTACTAGGATACCATCGCGTCATAATATAATATTGTGCCTATGTAATAAATGTAGGTATATACAATAGATATAATAATAAGTTATTACCACTAAAAACAGATTTCTTTACATATTATAACTTTTATTTTTCGGTTAATGAAAATAATTTGCATCTCCTAATTTGCCATCCTCATAATTTTAACAATAAAGCCATATATATACATTACGCATTAGAGCTCTGGGCTATCTTTAATTTTTAAAGTGTAGTAAAAAAAATATTACATAATTTCTAATTTACAAGAGTAAACTTACCATTGAGACGGGTAGCGGATGGGCACCACCGTTGGGGTACGGGTACGGCGCCACGAGGTAGCCCATGTTGAACCCCGCCGCTGGGTGCTCAAATTTACCTGCAAGCAAAAATAAGTTTCATTACCTAGTCAATGAGTACAAATTAGTTTATACCTTTGGAGACATGGAAAGGTCCAACCCATATTAGGCTAGCGTGATGCTTCGCCTAAACCCTATCCTATGATACTCCTGGTCCTTCTAATCACTAATAGGTATAATTTACGATGTTGATATGAAATTCTGAATCAAACTAAATAAATAACTATCCAAGTTAAGTCCATTCCAGTTAGACGGGACGACAGTTTTAATCAGGATTCGAAATTATAAAGATATTTATTTTCTTCGATATCTATCATTATAATTATCCAAATACATATCCGATAAATAATTATCCCTACTGATTCATAGCTTTGTCTCTTTCATTTTTGACTAAAAATGACAAACTAAAAAAGATTCGCTAAAACGGTTTGGTTTGTGACTTTGTTTGGGATTGATATATGACACGACTCGGATACCAACACATGACAGAACATTGTTAGCGGTAGCATTTTTTTGTGCTAATTAATTTTATAAATATCAACGTAGAGGTAATATATTAATCAAGACAATTATATTTATTAATGATAATTATATCATCGTATCCTGGTTTTAATACAAGATAAACATTACGAACACGTTTCCAAAATTAGTACGTCAAGGTTGAGCGCAAGTATTCACATGAAAATAAAAAAAATATTTTATAAATTTTAATTCATGTGAAATGTTTCCCTACCATTCAATGTTTAGTTAAATCCTCTAAACAATTCATAATATTACTAAAAAAATCTCCGTATAGAATGTTTCATAAATGATTTTGTGCCCTAAAGTGAAGTGAACGAACCACTGTGCGCAATTAAAAGTAAAAAGTACAGTCACAGAAATAAAAGCATGACGGCTAGACGCGGGGTGCAGACTGGAAAATTATACGCCGAGAAGTTATTTGCTCGCGTAATTGCGCGCACACTACTCATAGTACTCAAGTGATGTACTTGTGCTGGCGTAAATGTTTAAAATTGAAAAGTATAATAAAAATAATAAACGTTATTTTAACTGTGCTGAGATAGGTATAGGTTTTGTTTTATTTATTGTCTTCTCATAAGTATTAGATGCATTTTTCTCAATACTGTCATTTATGCCCTTTTTGTTAATGAAATTTGATTATTGTGTTCACATCAAGTATCAAACGCTTTAACTTTATTTTAAAATTATATCCAGTTTTGTGAACAAAAAAAGAATTCGTAGTACTAGACTTAGTATTTTAATTTTCCGAACGAAGAACCGGGATTTTAAATTCGCGCAGAATTCTTTGTTTTTAATACAAGGCGAATGCTTATATATATGTATATATATATATCTCTCTCTCTCAAAACAGACTAATACGCGGTGGAGGTCCGTTGTCTCTGCCTACCCTAATGGGAAACAGGTGGCTAATGTACGTATCTAAAGCAATACAAAGATTACAAATGAGCTAGAAAAACCAAATTATAACGTTACATAAATAATATTGAAAATATATATATAACAACATCGTCAAAACATTTTATGCGTCCTCGGTGGCCCAACGGTTTACACTGGGCAGTAAAATGAGGTCTCAAGTTTCACTCCCAACCACCAAATTGTGAAATGAACTTTGAATTGAATCTGGGCTGGATGTTCTGGGTAATGTACAGGAGAAAATTCTGTTGCTGTGGTTGGTGTGGTTCTCTAGTGGATACATTACTGACATTTAAGCGTGAAACATACAGAGAGCGGGTGCGGGTCGGGCGCGTATCGGGTCGGGGTCGCGACGTGTCTAATAACGTGTATTTACATACATGGACGACAAAACACCGAGCGCAGGCGCATGCGCCTGTCCTACAACCGCACCCGCTCTCTGTGTGTTTCAAGCTTAAATGTTTATTTTTTTCAAACGCCCCGATAAAAAAAATTCAGTTAAAAACAATATCTCGAAATTAAAACATTTAACACGACCTTTCAGATCCGTGAAATTAAATAAAAAGACAATTTCAACTCAAAACCAAATGTCCGCCTGAACACGTTTAAATTACCGTAAACTATTTTGATACGCGATTTAATACGATTTAAACTTTCAATTATAACACAAAAGCTTTGTCACATGCATATTGTATACGCTAGTAAATAACATACTTTAATAATATGAAGAATGCTTTTGGTTGGGGATTAATTACATTAAATAATGTGAACGCATTACATTCATTATATTCACTGACAGTACTTCGTAATGTCTATAAACAGGTGCCATTGTGGTTTTTTGTAAATGTTATTCATTTCACTGCATACCAGGATACGAAATTTTCAAGATTTTATTAGATGATTGGATGCTGATAAGTAATAACGTGTCAGCCCACGTGAGCATAGTTTTTGCGAAAATTTCACCTAAAGATTTTTTTTTATTTTGTCACCGCAGGGCACCATAATAAATTGTTGTGATTTATTACTATAATTCCCCAACAACAACAAGCAAAACAGCAAAAGTTTCCATTTTACAAGTATATCTTAGGACAAACTATCAAAAGCAACGAAAAAATCCTCAGGTGCCATTTTTGCAAAAACTATGATAATGGTGATTGACACGTTAACTGTTTATCAGCATCTAATTATCCAATACATATCAGACTATTATCCATGCTAGTTTTGTCTCTTTAATTTCTGATTTTAGTAGCAGTAAAGCTCCTTGTGAAAGAATTCGTCTAGGGTAGTACTGCCACTTTACCTTCCACCAGCAATATCAGCATTACTGTGTTCCGGTTTCGAAGAGTAAGGGTGCTGGTGAAATTACGGGAACATAGGACTTGTCAAGTTATCTCTCAGAGTAACGGGCGCAGTGGCAGTGCCCCTGAGATTTTTGCGATTTAAAGCTCTGAGTGGCACTTCAACTGTTATGGACAGGCGTGTAATTTACTATCAGGCGCAAACTTGTTCGTCACGTCAATTTATAGTATTAAAAAAAAAAAAATCAAAAAAACAAAAAAGTTATGAAAAACTATATAAAAACGAAGAAAAATCTTTGAAAAAACGTAAATCGTTTGGCACGACATTGCTTGCGGTAACACTTCGTTGTTCCAATTAATTCTGTAAGTGTCAAGATAATGACCAATTATATTTATCACTTAGAACCCTACTACATACATACATATGTTATGAATGTATGATGAAAAATAGGTAAAAGATTACAAAGTCAAAGTCACACTTATTAACGGCTTGAGCCGGTCTAAAAAAATTATATGTTTACTTTATGTCCAATAAGAACTATCGATTTATGTGAAATAAGAACGATCTTGTTCGTTCTTCACGCCCAATACAGTTTTAGGAGCGAGTGTTCCTTTTTTAAATGAGGTAGAAACCAAAAATCTTTATAAGAACACTGTCTGTTATACGTAGTGTTGTTATCGCCAAATTATGTTTCTTTAGGGAGTCATCACATGGAATCGGCTTGAGGCGGTCTGAAAAAGTTTTCTGTCTATACAATAAGAACGAAAAACACGTTGCGCGTTTCACTTCCTCTCGGAATGTTGACGTACGTCACACTTTTTCGTTCTTTTTAATTTGTATTTTATGATACCAAGTGACTGGACAGACAAGTCCTGCGCCTGGTGGTAAGCGACACGTTTACCCCTAAGGCCATATTCAGAGTGGCGCCGGGCGCGGGTGCGTGTGAATCAAATGTACGTAGAACAATGCCACTCTGAGCTATAAATCGCTTCTTAGCGATTGAGGGGTATTGTTACTGCGCCCGTCACCCTGCGACGTAACTTGACTAGTCCATAGTAATTTTACCAGGCTTACCTTTCAAAACCGGAACACAGTAATGTTCACATTACCGCTTGGCGGCAGAAATATGTAATGTGGCAGTACTTTCCTCGACGAATTCTTTCAAAAGAAGCTCTACTGCTACTAAAATGGACATAAAGATTTTTCTTAACGGTTTAATGCGATTCAAGATTAATAAGTGTGTTGACTACCTTATTAGAAGTAAAGATATCGTAGTTTCAGTAAACCATACAATACCTACGTTAACCACTAAGAAGTAATGTGCGCATTACTGCCTTTCACTTTTGAAGGATAAAGGTGCTGTTGAAAGAAACATGGGTCTTGTCTATTTTGTTTTTCAGGGTAATGAATGCAGTGGCCTGCATGTGGCCTGCTGAGGTACACTTTGCGATTTGAAGTCATAGAAAATAATAATCTAACGTTACAAAAAGTTTTCTGTACAAATTAATTACGTAGGTTATTTAATTTACATGCTTTTATACATACATAGATATCGAAAGATATAAACGAAATGACATTCGTTAATCTTAAGAAAATGTAATGTATGTAATAAGGAACATTGTGCAAAACAGACAGACAGAGAAATGTAAAAGATTTTATTATTATATTATTATAATGATATGAACTAAACAAAGATTCAGAGAACATCTTCGCCTTTTCAATTTGTCGGCAATTTAGTTTGTGAGCGTGGAATTACTTTGATGAGCGCTCGGTTTGACCACTTTATATTTACCCCTGACATCTATAACTTTCTTAACATCATTTGACTTCTTCAAAGTTCGGGGTAGACTAGTCTACTGTAATAAGAGCACCGCGTCGGTCCATTACATCATGATCTCTGTTTTTCATAACTTTATGTGGATCATTTGACGGCTTCAAAGTTTACGTTAGGCTGGCCAGTTGTATTACAACAACTGCTAATAGGTCTTTGCACTTTGTGTTAAAGATTATAGCGAATTATAATAAAATTAATGTATTTATATTTATTTTTATAATTGAAAATATTTTGTAGTATTAACGGAGATATGGATTAAAATTTAATTAATCTAATAAAGAAATAGAGCTGTGTGAAATCAGTGCGACGTCGGTGGCTTCTTAATACAGTAGTAGATGCCCAAAGATTTCTGACTCCTAGCGATCTTTTGGTTTTCAAAGCCTTCTTACGCATTCATCATAAATGTGTAAAGAAATTCCAGCTTCTTGGTTGAAATTTGTATTTATATAATTT